TCAAGACTGGTATACTCCCTACTGTTTTTCAATGACATGTGTTACAACAGGTGAGCACGTTTTTTATGACAGTAACTTCAAAGCTGATAACAGTCTTGTGTGTAGAAATCATTGTGAAACGTTTATTACCTTCTCTTATAATCAGTAGACTTGGTTATTACCACACCAGGGGGTCTGCTTCTACAGGTATGGACTGGACTTAATTTTTATCGGTAGTGACCACGACCATCCATTGTAAGCATACATGTTTATGGGGTACAATTTGAATTTTTTTTTGTTAATGAAAAATTAGCAGGATACATACCTGAAATATTATTTTTTCCTTCCAGATTAGGTGTTCTGTTATAAGAATTTAAAAAAATGAAACAAACGATGTATGATTTTACGATTGTATGTATCGTGATCTGCTCTTCTGCGGCATCAGCTCAGATCTGGATTACCGTGCCTGTTGGAGAGCTGTTATCGGAGATAGTAAAGTGTCAATATTCATGCGGAATGAGAATCGAAAATGAAAAGATTAGAGTAGTCCCGTTCGAACTCCGGTGAGGTTATACTCTAGCACGTGTACGTTTCCCAGCAGCTAGTACATCTTGTACGTATCCTATATGAAAACAATTGCGAGAAGTACATATATAATAGCCATAACTATAATGGAAGATTCACTGTAGCACAAGATACATTCGCATGTCAAGGAAAAGTTACCCTTCATACGGAAACTAAACTGTCGCTATTCAATACATTTGTTGCATGTATATTTGTATATTGAGTTATGAGTGTGACTTTTGTCACCATCATAACTCAATAACTCATAACTCAATTTGTGGCGATACATGCTGTATCGCCACAAATTGAAAACAAAATCTATCTTCTTTCTCTCAAAGACCCATTAAATGTTGAGAAAAATCCAATACTTCTAGGCTTTACTTTGAAACTGGGAGATATTCATTATATGTGCAACGTAAAATAGCCATAATGAGATATTGGTTAAAAATTCAAATACATACTAGTTACTGTTTTTAAAATCATGTTACGACGCATTAGTCGAACTCAATATCAGAAAATCTTATTGTAAAATTAATTGGGTTTATCAAATTAAGTAAAAACTATGTATTTGGGTTTTAATTATATTTGGATTTGCAAATATATACAAAATATGTAAATGTATGGTCAATATTCAAGAATTACGCAGTGCTTACGATGCATCGAGGTCACAGAAACTTTAAGCTGAACCGAAGCCTTTATCAATCTAATTAAAATCCGATCTCACATCATTACAGTAAGTAGTGTAATGAGAGAATTGATTTTAATTAGGTTGATATATTATATGGAAATATAGAAACAGATTATACTTAAATTTTGTCCATGTTAACTCAGGTATTGAAACAAAAACAACATGTTGGCTGAATGAACCCTGATTGGCGAATGTCGTCAGGCACGCCCTTCAACATCGTTTGATTGACAGACAGACAAGGTAGGATCACTAGAGTGTGACGAGCAATGATGTTGATGCAATTGAACTCTGTGTGAACAAGTTTTTCATTCAATGACCCACTACGTCATATTATGTTTAAAGGAATTAGGATTTAAATAAAAACCACATCAATGATAAAAACGAAACATTATAACACACTTGAAATCTAATACTGAAGGACATGATTGATATCAAGACATGTAATGGTTTCATAGATCGTTACGTTATATTTTATGTTTTAGCTTATCTTGCTCAATTAACAGTACTATTTATGTGTCAAATTCTCCTTTCTTTTTATCACAATTTAAAATACGGATTCATGCTTTTCAAATTGTCCACCTTATTCCCTGTTGATTTTAAAGACAAATAGTAACAGATTGCTCGCGTAAATTATTCAAAGAGTCTGCCTTCTTTTACTTGTCAGTGACAAACAGATTGAACTCCGTTAACTCTTATATTTCTTAAAATTTTAGGAGTTATCAGATGGTCCGTAGACTGCGACAACAGTAGTAAAAAAAAACGAAAAAACCCACTACAAAACCAATTACGTGGTGCATTTTCAGGGCTAGCTCATGGTCTTGATACGGTTTCGCCAAATTTTAATATGTTCCCAACAAGTGCGCGTGATGACGCGCAATCATGGACCAGCCCCTCCCCTCCCTCCCCCCCCAAAAAATAAGACTCCACCCCTTTAATTTTCGTTTATACATCCATATATGCATTCTAATGTACCCTATGTCTCTTAGACAGGAAATGAATTATTAAAATGAAGAAAATGTTTTATGTTTTATTACTATAAAACACTAACACTGCAAAAGATTTCATTTTTTTTTTATTATTTCTGTGACATTCCCTGGCCTTCTGCATCCCAATTTCAAGGCCTTCTACACGCAAACGGGCTGCCCATTTTGCCAAAGTGCTAGGATGAGATATTTCATCTGTTAAAATGAAGAAAAAATATATAACAGAACTGAACATGCATATTGGAGCAAATCATTTTCACCAAAACCAAAGGCTGATAATTTAGGAATTGGAGGTTATTTATTTCCAAATTATCAGTTGATAATTCTTAAACAAAAAGCATTTGCTGACAAAAGGCCTTAATATTTTTCACATACAATTTTTTTTTATCGGCAACTTAGATATAATTTCGGCAAATTGTAGTCTCGATCATAATTACACAATTCAAGTTGTACAATGTCATTTTCAGTGCCCTGGCAATTATATATCCGTTACTGCTTAACAAAATAAAAAAGAAAGTCGTTAAAAACTATCCCGCCTGAGCCCTTACGTAAACACACACCCGTGCCCGCATCACTTCACGAGATTTACTGCAGTACCTACTCTAATCCAATTAAAATAACCCTTTTTTCACCCTAACTTACCCTATTGTTATCAAGATTCAAGATTTCAAGATTTTTTTTATTACGCTCTGACACACAAAGTGTGTAACAAGAGGTCAAACAAAATAACATCAATCAAAGAAAAAACGACAAAGAGAGTAGATTACACATGGACAGATTAAGCATTATTTCATAGACAGATTCAGCAATATTTCATAGATAGATTCAGCAATATTTCTTAGATAGATTCAGCAATATTTCATAGATAGATTCAGCAATATTTCATAGAT